GATCCGATTTGGGATATTCCAAGTTGAATTTGAAACATGATCAAGTTTGGGACATGATCATCCCAAATTAGAAATTGCAGTTTGAGAAGTCCGAAATAGGAATTTCGATTTGGGATATCCCAAGTTTAACTTGGGACATGGTGACGTTTGGGCTACAACAGAGATATACTGTATATAATTGAAAATATGTACAAATTACCCAGCTTATTATTATGCACATACAAAGCAAGATCTGCCATACTATAATATAGAAAAAACAAGCATTGAAATTCGTGAAAATTTGGTAAATGCGCATTTAAATCCAGATAAGAAAATATTTTGTTAAGCAGATGCATTTATTAATAGTTTAAACGAAATCATTGAGGATGGTTTGGGAGAGGATCTAGATGGGATAAGCCAATGACATTGTTAATAACATGTAAACTTATCGTTATCTAACTTCATTTTTTAATGTATACGATATGCTTTTGTAATAAAATTAACTGTTATATTTGGATTTTCTATTGCTAAACAGTTTTTTATTGATTTTAATCTTTCGTAATTTTGGTTTATTCGTCTAATTTACTATGATTCAAATTTATAAATTTGTTAAATTTATTAGATATTTTTGATAATAAAATTACAGAAGTACTTTTTTATAAGGTTTTCTATAAGAAATATTATATAATATAGTTAAATATGAATTTTTTGTATATAGCGATAACAATAAAACATTTTATTGTTTAAAAAAAAAAACAATGTTTCCATCAAAAACAGGTTTGGAATTATGTAACTTGGGCAAGTTCCAGAAATTACGGAAATTTAGGCAGATTCCGGAACTTACGGGTTTTGGCCGAAATGAAACTTTAAAAAGGCGAAAAGTTTCGTTAATTACAAAGTAGTTGCCCGAAACATTAACGCCTACAACGATCTTACTTAATGATTCACATGGCTGATTAGGAGTAGGAAAGAACTCCAACTAATTTCAGATAATGAAAATCTCCCTCTTGATTTAGTGATTATAAGTCAGAATGGTTTATTCATAAAATAATTTTAAAATAATGAATAAGAAAGTACAGGTACACTATCTAGTAAAATAGCATCATTATCCAGAAATTATAATGATTTAAATAAATGGAAAAAGAAATATTTGGTAAATGAGTGTTTGGCTATTAGAAGAGTATAAAAAATGCTCACCTATTTTTTTTTTTTTATCTAAATCTTTTTTTTATATCAATAAAATGTTGTAGAAGGTAATAATCTAAACAATGTGCACAGGAATAAATATGAAAAATAGAAGTGTATAGTTCTGTATTTATAGTTCTATTGGTGATGATGTTAAACTTATTCCTCCTATTCAATTTATTGAAGATTTAACAGAGAACACAAAAATGGTTTAGTCTTTTTTTTTTTAAAAAAAAAACATTTCACATGTAAAGTCTAATAAGTCCGTCATATAAGCACTGTTCGATATCTTATGAATCACATTTGATCGGAATATTATCATAATATTCAAATTCTAAAGTGAACTCTTGGTATTTCACTACGAGATAACAAAAAAATTGAACCAAACATTATAAATTTTAATCAACATTAAATACAATAATCCAAATCATTAAATACTCACAATAAAATCCCAAATTATTTCCAAAATTTCTATGACAAATTATTGAGTTTATTGTTTGAAGGAGAATCATTATTATAGCGATTAAACCTAACATTATTATGAAAAGTATACAGTAAGTTAAATAATATTTTGTTAAAACAAACATTATGATGAACGAAATAATATTACCTAATACAAACATTATTTGGAAGTGTGAATCGTTTTGAATGAGGTATTTAAACCCACATATATTTTCGTTTAATAAGTTATTTGAACAGTAATCATAGAAATTTACTATAATATAAAAAATTTCATAGGCATTTCCGATATATACAATGATCATTAACTTGTGCGATTCGTCTCTTATCTAAATAGAATCGCAACTTAATTAATGAAATGATCAAAAAAAAATTAATAAAAAATAGATAAATAAATTCAGAGTATAATTACCGCCTTTGGAATGATTGCTACATATAATTGAAGAATTAGAAACCATGGAAATAATGTAATTGATTTATATAAGGATATTTTTTGATTGATTCCAAACGTAAAGTTGTATCCATAAATCCTATTGAGTTTTTTTAACCATAATGAATATGATAAAGCTCCAAAATGTACTGCTTGTGCATGTATGAGAACTAAATTTCTTTGATAAGTTTTATACATTTCTAACAAATAGTTAAAAAAAAAAAAGGTTACCAATTATGAAATGATCATAACGTCGTTAAATGCTTACTTTGAATTTGATCATTTTTTGTGATTTGCAATTCTTTAATTAATGGCCAAATCCTAAATCAAAAAAATTGTTCAATAAGGCAACAACAATCATTCAAAACAAAATTTAAAATATTTGAAAGACATTTGATTTACCTATTTTTCCACATATTAATGATTAATATAAAGTAACAAATGGAACATGACAAAAAAAAACAGCCCAAGCCACAAAATAATTTAATACAAAATTTTTTATATGTTTCACTCCTTCATCCTGTACCATGAAATCAAAGCAAACAGCATTAATACACTTCCAAAGAATTCTTAGGAAGATTGATAAAGTCGAACCAATCAATATAACCCTAAGAAATAAATAAATGGTGCCATGTAATATAGATCGTTGTTGTATATATATAAATAATTTAATTCTTTTTAATTAAAATTTGAAAATATAAAATAAAAAAAAAGGATAAATTATTTAACATACAGTTACAATTCCGGATATAAAATAATAAATATAAGGAAATAATACTAGCAATGGTCTAAATGTTTTGATATTAATAAATAAATATATACTTGAAATGATAATTATGGCATATTCAAGAATATAAAAAATTATGAATAATTTCTCAACAAAAACGTAATTAGATAAAAATGAGTTGCGTGTAAATTTTGAAACAATTTCCATTTTTTTGTTTACAATTAAATTATTGACGGCGCATTAGTTTATTTATCAATAATTTCAATGAAGATCAAACTACCTAAATCTGGATAACTTGGTATTGGGGATCGCAAGAAATGTTTGTCACTAAATAAAAAGGGTTAGTCACTTTGACTAAATAAACGCTTTTATTATTTTTTGAGAACTTACTAAGGATAATTGATGCTGGTCTAACTACCCGGGGATCTGCGATCTGTGGACATCCGGTTGTAATTGACCAAAAAAAAAATTTACAAATGACAATAAAACAAAGAACAAATTTTTGCATCTCTTAAACTTTGAAAAGAAAGAAACAATAAATGGGAATTCAACACAAGGAAAAAATAGAGATGATTGCATATCAACAAAATGATCAAAATCTTACTGGCGTTGGTAACTTTTCTCAAAGTACTTTGTATTTTTTCTGAGATAGATCTATAACGATATAAATCATTATATTAAGCAACATAGTTTATTAAAAAAAAAAGTTTACAAAAATAAATTTCGACGTCATTAATTTCGTAAAATCAACTTTAATAAAAGTTAGTACCTCACGTGACTAGTAAGTGTTAATCTTTTTCCATATTTATCGTGCTGGGCGTACATGCTTGCATCGAAAAAAAATTATATTTCCGTTTTTGATGAACAAAAACATTTTTTATCAATGGATAATCCAGAAAAAAACATAAATTTCTCGCCAAACGATGGTGAAAAATGTTCATATTGTAACAACCAATTTACTGAAGAATTATGGTGTAAACCATGTGACCCATTTCGTAAAATGATGGGTTGGACTAGTGGAAATTCGAATATCGATAAATTCATCAGGGATTCTATTTACGAAACTAGGTTACATACTACTTCTAGACGTTATCTTGAGTGGGTTCCATTTGAAAAATTTAAGAATATAAACCAAATTGGTGAAGGTGGATTTTCCAAAGTTTACTCCGCAAATTGGGAGGACCGACGTATGAAATTTGTATTAAAACGTATTAATGGATCACAGAATATATCTACGGATTATTTAGTCAAGGTGAATAAATAATTCTTCATTAAATTTGATGTTTTTAATTATTGACTTTGAATAAATCGCTTTTTATTATTTTTAGCTCAAAAATAGTTGGAAATTGAATTCCAATATGAATACCCCAAAAAATTTACTAAAGTTTTATGGAATAACGAAGGACCCTGATACCGAAGAATTTATGTTGATAATTCAATTGGCCGAGTATGGAAATTTAAAGGATACACTTGCAAAAAATTTCCATAAATTAACCTGGGAAGATAAGTTCCCTTGGATATTTGATGTATTGCTTCATATTTATAAGTTACACGGTTTAGGCCATTGTCATAAGAATTTCCATAGTGGAAATATATTACAAAATAAATATTATAAATCGTCTAGTTTAAGACTTACTCATGTTACAGACATTGGATTATTGGGACCAGCAGACCAACAAGAATCCGATGATAAAATATATGGCGTTTTGCCATATATCGCACCAGAAGTTTTACATGGGGAACCTTATACTTTAGCTTCTGATATTTACAGTTTTGGAGTCATTATGACAGAAATATCTTCAGGAAAGCCACCATTTTATAACAGAAAACATGACAGCACATTAGCTTCAGATATTTGTAATGGACTTCGTCCAGAATTTGGAAACGGAACTCCGGAATTTTATAAAAATTTGGCCCATAGATGTATGAATGCTAATCCCGATCAAAGGCCAACAAGTAATGAGTTGTATGATATTTTTGAGTTTTGGGATGGCACCAATTATGAAAATTATACGTATGAGAAAAGGTTTGGTTACTACGGAAATGAAATCAGGTTGGGATTTAAGGAAGCAAATAAAGATATATCAAATACTTCAATTTCTTATGAAAAGGATCCTGATGCCATATACACTAGTAAAGCTTTTACATTTATTAATCTACCAGAACCTGTAAATTCACCTCTTGTTACTCCATACCTTCAAGAAAATGGAAGAACTTGATCTATTAAAGCAACTTAAAAGTTTGATATATTAAATAAATCTTTAATATTCCAAAAAATAATTTCATTTATTATCGTTAAAAATAAGGTTAAGGATAAATTGCTTTTTTATTTTTGTTCTATCTAGGGAATTATATTATTATTGAAATAAATTTTGAAGCTTAACTATTCAGGTTAATTTTTAAGTTCGAATTCCTCCCGCGTTATTTTTTTTTTTTTAAAAAAAAAAAGAATAAGCTTCTGTATTTGTTTGTTCTGATATATATTAAACTATCAATTTTAACACTTAGTTGTTCAATAATTTAGTTATTTTACAATTTTACTGAAAACAAATGTTGAAATATTTTCGATAACCTTTGAAATCGAAAGGAGAACTGACGACAAATAATAAAAATTGATAACGATAAATGCGAATCTTGACCTTAATTGAAATAAGTGGATGTAACTTATATTACGAAATTTTACATGAATTTTTATTTTTTATTAGAAAACTAATAATTATACCGTAACTCTAAATAATTACACGGCCGTATATGATTATTATACTTTGACCATGTGTAATTTGTCACGGAGAGAGTTTATTTAAACTATGATCGTGATATTACAATTTAAACTATTAATAATATAATATTTACTTTAAAAATATTATATTATTCTATTTACTAGTATTTAAATGAAATGTATATAAAGCAGTATAATCGTGAAATTGAATTTAATAATAATAACTTTGATATTATCACATACATTTAGACAGATAAACATGTGACATTATGGACACGTGATAGCAGCACTTTTTTTTTGTTTTAACAGTCTCTTTTCTATCTTATTGCTTCACGTCGGCTATATATAGGCGATGAAGAGTTTAAATTTATTTAATTTAATATTTTTTTAAAAAGTAATTTTTTTTTTTTTTATAATTATAGATTAAAAATCGAATAAATGAAGACACTTCATATTGGCTATATGGAAGCTATTCTATATGGAATTATTTTCTTAATATTTGAATATTATTAGCTAGTCAGAGGTTTTTATTTTTTTTGAAATAATGTTTTTTCTTAATGAATTCTTGATTATTAAAAATGATGATTTATTTTTATAATTGCGAATTTCGAGTTTTAAAATTGCTTATATAAAAATTAAAATATTTTAAAAATATGTTTTTCATTAATGTTGTATCATATAATAGATAATAAAAATACTTAGAAGATATATTCCGGATTGAGAAATTGTAAAAACATTCAATTCCATTAAATATATTATTAGATTTTATCATAAGTTATTAAAATTTATAATATATAAATAAGAATATGAAGTGTTAAAACTGAGCTATTAATTATTTTAAATATTAAACTTCAGATTGACAAATTGACCTTCAGACTTTAATGATAAATCGTACAAATACTTGCTCACCTTATAGTCGAAGCGGTTCTGGTAAATAACTATTGTTTATTTTGTGAAAAAGTGAATGCATAAGTTATTTATTTACACGTTAAATCAATAATTCAAGCATTTTAAATAGTACAGACTTGGTTATATCCAGCTGTGGGAGATCTTCGTGTAGGGTAATTGTTGATAATTGTTCATATTCTAAATAAAGTTTTTTTTAATAATATATTATTTATAGGAAAATTTAGTAAAATTGAAACGTAAAAACACATTCATGAAGCAACACAAAGATTTACCTATATTTCGTTAAAATATCGATCATTCTTCAAAAATTTTTTTAGCACTTCAAATATAAAATAAACTTAATTAAACAAAGCGAATCTTTCTATTAACTATTATGAATGGCAAAGGTACATTAATTAAACATGTTCGCTTATCGTGTTTTTAAGAATTTGACGATTGGAGTTTTGAAATTTTTTCATAGTCACCAAAGTTATTAATTTATAAATGCAAAATTTTTAGTATTCAATGTGTTAAATAAATCAGAATGAATGATTAGAAAAATAAAATGTTTTGTAAATAACGTATATGGGGACGTTTCCAGTAAAATCACATTACGGATCATATTATTTGCTATATCTCATGACTGGAAAATTTCCCATATAATGTAATTGCAAATAAATAAAATAAATTTTATATTGTGTAAAGTTCGCAAAGAATAAATAAATTTTTGAAATAATATTTTACACCAAAATATTGTTAAGTTAAATTTAGTCTTGAAGCAATGTTTTTTCTTGACATCCTTGGCACTTTACAACTCATTGTAATATTATAAAGGTTTTAATAGCCTTGACATTGTAAGTAGTATAATGCACTATAAAAGCCTCTTAAACATTAATAAAAGCTTTTCCATCGTACCGCATCTTTTGAGACCATTCTTGTCAGTGCCGCTTAAGTATCTTTGTAACACCTTCAACAACTTCTTGGAATATGTAGTCCTTCCTTGACCAGTTTTCTTTTAATTCCTGACTAACATTATAATTTTTTATTTAATTGTTACTATAGAGGTCATAATTGAATTTTTTCATACAAGACTTTCAATAGCTTCATTAGGAGGCGCCCTACACCCGAGAAAAGTCGCTTTTTTTCTACATGACAAAGTCGTGCAAGTGTATTTTCCTCTTGTGATGCAGATTTCGTGGGTTGTGCATTCGCAGTAGCCATATTTACAGGATACAGATCTAACGGTGTATTCAAGCATGTTTCATCTGATTCGCCATTATTAATATATCTGGTCTTTCTATTACCAGCCAATGGTAAATTTCAAAAGCATTCTTCATGTCATTAAATGACCCAGGTTTTCCTAAAATCAATTAATTTGTTTAATAAATTAATAAATAACAACCTAAAAGACTTAAAATTCTTGTTAGAACTTGCTGTAACTTCTTCATCACCCTCGTAAATATCGTCGTTTCTTCATATTGCATTGATTTGCGTTCCATTTTCACGAAGATACCCTAATTTATTTGCGTTGATGTAATACGTTTACATGAACATAAAGCACATTAAATCTTTTATTTACCAGTTGCTTCTGCCTCTTCTTCGCCGTCTGTTGATTATAACAGATCTTTGAGTTGATATACTGCTTTCGGCATTAAAGTTTATTCTGTTGTCATCAGCGATTTCACCATCAGAATTGATTATATCAAGTTTATCATCATAATCGTCATTATCACCAATGGAGCTATTGTCATCATCAGTATAATTGAAACATTGGTATTATTATCATAATCATCAGGTGATCGTGATCGGGTTAAAGTTGTTGAAACTGTCAAAGACAAATTCGGTCTAATGTCTTGCTTTCCTTTTTCATGACCTTTATTATGTGAAGTTGAGATACCACCTTCTATTTCGTTAGTTTCATTAGAATCAGCTTGTGGGAGTAATAGATTTGTTATAAATAGGCTCTGTTTCTGATTTTCCTCTATCGCAACCACGACCACTTTCTGAGACCATCATTTTTACAGCTCCTAAATATAATATTAACATATAATGCTAGTTTAATAACTTGTAGCAGATTCGTCACGGAGTGTAATAGGAATAGGTTCTATTACCACCATTTTCCCCTACCACAACATCTTCTACGACCTTCTGTATATAATATTAACATTATTATAACTTGTTTCTTGACGTTATTAGGTGATTACATGATAATTTACTAACTTTTAGCAGGTATAATATCAGTCTCGGTGAATATAGGCTCTGTGACCACGATTTTTCCTGATTTTCCTCTACCACGACCGCGATCACGACCTTCTAATTATAACAAAAATGTAAAATAAATAAATAAAATATTAAATAAAAATTTATGTACATTAAACATTCACTTGCGAGTTGTATACATTCGTTAGTTTCGTTTGACGCAGTAGTTTCTTGAATTTTTAGTGTTCTCGTCATTTTAAATAATTATTTTTATATATATATAAAGTTGAATGTATTCGAGTATAAAATGAAGGTAGAAACGATTTTGAAATAAAATAAAAAATAAAAGTAATGCAATTTATATTATTCGTTTTAATAAGCTTTTATATAATTATTAGCTTTGTTCCTTATGTGCTAATAAAGTATAACGATAAAAAATATTTTTATGTAGAATTATATGTCAATAAATAAGCTTTATATAGATTTTTATACAGGTAAAAGAAAGTATCAATAAAAAGTAAAAGACATTTACACATGATTTGATAAATTAATTCTTATTGTTGTTATTAACATTGATTGATTAGTTTATTGTTAACAATGGTTAAGTATAACGAAACAATTGAAATATATCAATCATTTTTAAACTTTGCATTTTTAATTTATGTACTTTTGAACGTGATTAATAAATATTTCAACATTAAAAAATACATCATTCAAGCATAGTCAAATCAATCTTTGAAAAACGAAGGCGACAAAGTGCATAATGATGTGTATAGTAAATCTACAGTGTCAATAAATACAAAAGTATATCTTTACATTTGTAGGTTATTAGTCAAAAATTTATAAACCACAATGCTTCCTTAAAGTGTTTAAGTATCAATGTCCTGTATAGCATGGTTGAAAGCTTTTCGGAGCACCCTAAATTTTCATATTGATTTTCATCTCATTAAAAATAAACCTTTATCTCCATTATACGCTTCCACTAAACACCTTATTGAAATTGATGGTTATTCTAATGGAATTTCATCAAGAAGACAAATAGTAAACCCAATATTATCACAATGAGACCTTCAATTCATTTTAGTTTGCGATGTATACGCAAAAGTTAGAGTTACTCAAAGCTTTAAAGTGGAGCCATAATATTTTAACTTCAATTGAATTCAAAAGTTGCGTATTTACCGTGAACACATCATTCAGAGGATTTGAGCGTCTCACACAACTTCGAGCACTTTATTTTTATAGATTGTGGAGGTTCGACAAGACATGCATACATTTCAAACTTTAGTTGATGTTGGCCGATTTCTGTAAAAATAATCATGTAAATTAATTCAGTCCTTCGAATTAATTACAAAACTTTATCAAAATCACGAATATAAAGACACGGCAAAAGGTAATATCAAATGTCTTTATTAACACCTGGTTTATTCCTAAACCTTAACTTGAGTTTCCTTTTAGCTCTAAATAAAATATATGAACCTATTTAATTATAATAATGTAATTTTACATATTACCTTTATTATCTCATTCCGAGGAATTTCATTTAAATCAAAAGATCAATATTAAACTTACTTAAATCATAATTTAAGAATGAAAATTTTATGAAAATTATTTAAGTTTCGCCTCGACGAATTTTTGTTGATTTAAACCATAGAACATTGCATAACTATAACTCGGGAAATAAAATCATTAGAAATCTTTTAATAATGTTATAATTTAATATTCAACATTATTTAACTAATTTATAAATATAACTTCACTTCAACTGATAATACTAATAAATATTTGTCAAAATAAAAGTACCGACTCTGTAACCGACGCTCGAATTGGTTTGTCATCAAATTATGTTCTAGATCAAAATATCGTTTGATGAACCAATCAAATTTCTACCTGTGTTTTAAATTTGACGCATGTAGCTCATATTTTACTTAATGAGAACCGACGAGCCCATATCACCGCCCGGTCATTGAAAGTTCCAGAGACTATTTTTGCAGAGTCATCTCATCCGTCGACTCCAATGGCTGGTATCATTAATTCAACATAAATGGAAAACTGCCTGTACAACCGAACCCTAAACAACTAAAAACAAAGTTATTATATGATGAGGAACCTAAAGAAAAAGGGCAATGTTTTTGGAGAAATTATTCCTATGGATTTAGGAAACAGTGGAGAACCATATTCATTCGCGATATATATCCATATTTGGGTTATTTTCATAACATAATTAAAAAAAAATTGAATCGAACCTTCATTCAAGTATAAGAAATAATGGCGTTGGAAATGCCTAAACCTTATCTAAACTTAAATTGAATTTGTTAGTATTGTCAAAAAATTACGAAATAATAAACTTTCTACAAATAAGGTCAAGCAAACTTATTTGGCATTGTTAATTATCAAACTTTGAAAAACTTGAACAGAACATTATTTTCTACAATTATAAATTAAATTGTATTAGTAGATTTTTATATCATGCTGATAATTAAATAGCATAACGTTTTGTTCTCAACATTTTACAAAATTCTAATTTTTTTTTTTTATATTTTTATATTCAAAAGCGACAACTCTAACAGATAATTTCAATAATTATTTTCATTTTACTAAGATCTTAATCTAGCGTATTAATTCAAAAAAAAAAATATTTGAAATAGTGTAGTGCAGTTCCGATTTATCAGAACAGTGTATCTTTAGGATTATTTTATAAAATTAATTCTTGTAAAAAATAAACCTTCAAAAAAAAGTCTGCAAAAAAAAGAAAGAAAAAAATATCATATTCCTAACACTGCGGATTTAATTTAAAGTTTCGTTCATCTTTCTCATTAAAGTGGCATATTCTACAACATATTCGAATTAATTCCTAATAATTGATATTCACTGCAACTTCTGAATAAAATAGTTGAGGGTATAGCTCATTATAGCAACTAGCGATTGGACTCGTCAAATCTTGATTCGATTAATTCGAAATGAGTGAGTGATTTTAATTTGTGAGTTAACCATCGTTAGTTGTAATTTAATAAAATGTACTTTTCTTGCGATTGCAACTTTTTATCTCAACATTTATTATTAGTTAGCTTGATTATAATAAAAAAACTTTCGAGAAGTTTTTGCAAGATGTAAATCGAGAGTATTAGTCAAATAAGAAATTGCGCTATTATTTATAAAATCAATTAATAATACAAACAAATATACCAAATTTCCATAAAAACGGTCTCAAAATTCTCTCTTATGAGCTTCCTTTTGACTTTTTTTCAGAATGATAATGAGGGCTATATTGCGAAGAATTTTGATTATCGTATAATAATGGTCTGACAACTTAATCATCTAGCTCGATATTTCAAAAAAACAATACTTCTGGACATAAAATGACAATATGTTTAATGAATTCACAATATAAATGAAAAATAATATTAGAAAAAAATTAATCAATTAAATTTAAATATATTCAACACATTCTTCGATATTTTTGTCTTAATATACGCACCTTCAATATCTTTAAATTTTCTATTATTGTAAATGATTTCTGCCCGTTTTGTGCCAACTCCTTTCACTAGCTCAAGTTGCTTTCTTACTGCGGTATTTATATCCAAAGGGCCTACGTGAGCGAATGCATACGCTCTGCCGCATAGGGTTCAAAATACTTACTCCTATTAGATGCATCTACATATCCGGTATTTCTTGGAAGTCTGATATTATTTATTTTCGTTGTAGTAAATATTAAGAAAAAATCCTTTGATAATGATGATTTTTCCCATTCTATTTGGATTTCAGACTCGTTAAGAATTTTTCTTTTCAATTTATTGTATTGATGCTCTTCATTTGGGTTTGGATCATTTGAATTCAAATCTAATCCAAGAAATGCGTCCCCATACGGCAGTGATGGCAAATTTCAAGGTCATTTACTTTTTTTCAAATGACCTTGGTCATTTTAACTTGAAATTTATAATAAAAGTTGGTCATTTGAAGTCATCTCAAGGTCGTCATTTGCCAACACTGCCATACGGTGCTGAAGTCCTATTGATTATACAATGTCCTCTGTGAACATCAACAATAAAATTATTATCACATTGAATTTCTCTTTTATTTCAGGTATATAAAGATGGTCAGTCGTTCTTTCGGTCCTGAACGGTCCTGCCCAGTCTTTAGAAAAGTTATAAGGAAAGCACCATTGAAATTTTGAACCGCAGCAAGTATGGCTAAAGACCAATAAATCTCAAAATTTGGCCTTTATACTTCTTTTTTTAAGTCCAGCAGAGGCGAAATTGGTATAAGACCGAAAAAATCAAAAAATACTGGTTTTGGTAAAATAAAAACCTATATAGCTCTAAATTGGTTGATTATATTGAGACTAAACTTTACCACTTTTCGATCTTTAATCAGTTCTGTTGTGCCACAAAATATTGAGAGCACAGCCTTATTACTTTTCCGAAATTTTCTTAAAGACAGATCAAAGGCCGCAGGACCGACTGACCATCTCTACCGGTATAATGTGCTGAATTGGTATCCTCCTGGTGAATTGCAATTTTCAATTCTAGATGATGATTTATGAATCGGAAATCCACCATTCAAATTTTCTCCAGTGTGAATTTTCGCAATTGTAGTTGCCTCATTATCATCTAGCATTATAGATTTTAATGTTCGGAAAGAGGAAATGTTCAAAGTGTTGCCAAAATTGGACGTGAACAATGCTCTTTCAACGTAATGCAGAATTGGCTCTACATATGAGCCTCCTTGTTCCGAAGATGAAAACGAAATTTTTTGTGGGATCGGTGGTGACGATTCGCGTTCTGAAGTCAATGGAGATGATCCTTTATTTCTCGCACGTTTTCCTGTTCATCCTGTAAATTTCTTTTATAATCGCAAAACACCAGTCTCGAAGTACTGGATCTTCACCATCTGAAGATTGCATTAATATCCAAATCAAGATGTAAGGAGCAACCAGGCATCCCGATTGAGTTTCATCTATTTGCTGGTAACTAATCAACCCTGGATGAACCAATCCTTCAGGGGACTTATTTGTACCGGGGATAAATTTATCAGATTCTAAGATAACATTACCCGTCCAATAGTTCTGCAGACGCTTGGAGAAAATTGAAGTGCCTCACTGTACCAGTCACGAGACGCAGTGATGGCATATTTCAAGGTCATTTACTTTTTTTTCAAATGACTTTGGTCATTTTGACTTGAAATTTATAATAAAAGTGAGGTCATTTGAGGTCATTTGAGGTCATCTCAAGGTCATCTCAAGGTCATTTGCCAACGCTGTCGTATTATAGAATTCTTCAGCATTTCGTGACTTTCCAGTGCCAGCACCAGAAAGGAAGAGATAAATTAGTATAAATGTTTTATCAACAACTCCATCAAGATAATATTTGTAATGCATTCTAAGCTCCCTTCTCAACGTTTCGTGTAAGGATTGTTCTGGCTGATACACCCAATTAATTCTTAGACCATAAAGCAGAGGCTTTGGTTTTTTGTATGGAAAGCCTGTGAGAGTAATGAAACACCGGTTAGGTAGGTCCATGAATTTTTAATATTTAAAAATTGTTGAACATACCTTTAGGAAAAGCGTTCATAACAGATCACGTGTGTATCAAAAAAATATACAAAAGGTTTAAAGCGTCACGTTCATGTTGACCAATATAATCACCCGGAAGCCTCACTACGATTGGGTTATCTTCATCACTTTCAAAAATCTCTATTAATTTAATAAAATTCTTTTGACAATCCTTAAAAATTGTGCTGTCCAAAATGATACGTTATTAATCGGTCGTCTTTTTTACGTATAAAGTTAGACTTGATGGTACACAAGTGAGTTAAGGAAGTCAAATGATTTCATTTCCTGAAATTTCGGTAATTTTATTTGCGTGATAACGACTTTCGATGTTGAGCCTAGTGAAATCTTCGTAAAAAGAGTTAATATTACAAATAAAATGAAAATGAGATTTATATTATTTCAAAAATTTAACTTTTATCAAGTTGAGCGCGTCTTAAACCTGAATAAACTTTAAAATACTTTATACAAGAACGCGTGAAATATAAAATATCAGATTATAACATTTATATGATCTTGTTATACCTTTACATCATTCATGTTAAAAATAATAAATCGAATTTTATTGAGGAGGATCGATCATCTGATTTAAGGAAATCATCAGACATACTTATCAAAGACAGGATGTTTCAAAATATTGCAATGTAATAATTTACACATGACCTCTTCGTACCTTATTCCTAAACCTTGACACCACAGTCAAATTGTTTTTCAGTGCACGTCTAATTATAGGTCACCGATCAGGAATTAAAACACAAATTTAAGGATCATTTTCGAGTGCTTTCTTCTTATGTTGTCTTTGATGCTCTCGGTACTTTCCCTCAATCCTGGTATTTGAAACACGTGTACATACTTGGTAAACTGCTTATCTCCTTAAAAATATATTTAGATATTCCAATTTTTCGTAAAAGAATTTAATTTCTTTAAAGATAAGAAAGTCAACACGTTGATATTATTTTCTTGATTATTTCGATATATTCATTCGTAGGTTTAAATTATCGCGGAATCCAAAGAGCCAACAATTTGCGAAGGCCCCATTTATTGATTTCTTTGCTTTAATGAAAATCAAATATATAAGTGTAGTGATTTCAAGATGAGAAATTGTGATGATCAAATATTTAGTATTCGAGTTACATATCTATTTTTATTCATTTTCTAGTAATTTTTGTATTATGTTACACCAAGTAATTTGTTTAATAGTGTCATTCAATATTCAGAATCACGTGATTAAATAAACATTCGCGTCGCGCCACTTCATTTAAACAAACTTTCTCAAACCTACATATTAATATTCCTCACTCACCTTTTTTTTTTTTTTTTTTCCATTTCTCCATCTTTCTTTAACCTATCTTCTCTAAATATATTATTTCTCACAACTGTTTTTTTTTCTCCACCTCTCATTCCACACATTAATAATTTATCTTCTTTTCTATTTTAACTTCAATTTTTATTGTATAAATGGTAACAGTTGTGGAAAATATTTAATCAAAGCATTTACTTCTGTGGCAACATACAATATCTTAGCGCAGAAGAAATCGCGGTTTGGTTAAGAACAATAAATTCTCTGCCGTTTGTACACGTTATTCAGGACCATATAATACAATCATAAAATTTTCGGCAGCTAGAGAATTCAAAACCAAAAAACCTATAAACTAATACAGATATTTAATATGTACCGTAGCAGCAAGAAAAGCATAATATTTTTTAGGATGCTGTGATTTTAGAATTGTAAGATTCGGGAATTATACGAATTAATCTATCCAAATATGAATTTTTTATGGTCAACATCACAGCAATAATAGTAGATGATGGCGTTTCTTCTGAAAGTCCAAGACTTTTTATTTCATTGAGTTGATCATCATTAAAGTTTACATGCTTCAAAATATGAATTATTAAATCGTTTTTATGTTTTCCAACCAGGCTTTATATGAAAAATATCTAACCAATAGACCCTCCTTAACTAGGGATGCTAATGGTTATGGTCATGACCGGTCATAACCGTGACCGATATCGGTCGGTCAAAGGCTTCTGACCGAACGGTTTGACCGACCGATTTTGACTACAAAAATATAAATGATTGTAACGAGATAATAAATCTTAGATAAACATGACCCGAAGTTTTGCACTGAAAATAGAAAAAAAAATTAATTTTAAATACAACTCTCCGAAATATGAAATCCTGAAAATCAAGAAAAAATAAGAGCCCAATTCATTTTTTTTTAATATTTTAGATAAAATAAAACAAATTAAAATTAAAAGTAAAAAAAACTTACCTCCTTTTGTAGATGCCGAAGCCTTGGAATCGAAGAAGGTAAGTATTCATTTTTTTTTTTAATTAATAAATTAAAATGAATTCTTACCTCTTATTATGGATTCCGAAGCCTTCTGCAATCCTGGAATCGAAAGGTAAGTATTTATTTTTTTTCTTTTAATTTTTAAAAAAAAAAAAAATTTAAATTTACTTACCTCTTATTATAGATGCCAAAGTCCTTGATTCCTACGAATCAAACGAAGGTAAGTATTCATTTTCATTGAATTTAAAAAATATATATATATAAATTAAAGATTTACTTACCTCCTTTTGTAGATGCTGAAGCCCTCCGGAATCCTGGAACCCTACAAATAGAATGAAGGTAAGTAATTCGTTTTTTTCTTTTAATTTAAAAAAATTAAAATTTTCTTACTTTTTTTGTAGATGCCGAAGTCCTGGAATTCTACGGATCAAAAGAAGGTAAGTATTTATTTTCTTTGAATTTAAAAAAAAAAAAAAAATTAAAAATTTACTTACCACTTTTTGTAGATGCCGAAGCCTTCTGGAATCCTGAAATCGAAAGAAGGTAAGTATTTATTTTTTCTTTGAATTTAAAAAAAAAAATAAAATAAAATAAAATTTACTTACCTCTTTTTGTAGTAACGAAAGAGAGAGATAACCACCCCTCGAATTCCATTCCTTTATATATTTTTTTTTTTTCTTAATTTTTCATAATAAATAAAAAACCAGTTTTTGCAGGCAAAGACCGAAATTTTCGATAATACAACCTTCATTAATAGCGAACACTGTGTAAAATACGACTCCGATAAGCCAACGAGATGAATTATTTTATTTTTTTCTAAACGGTCAGTCAATCGGTCGGTCGGTCAAAGGCCATTGACCGACCGTTGACCGACTATGACCGTACCATCCCTGTCCTTAACTAGCTTCATAATGTTGATCTTTTGTCCACACACCTTTTTCATTGCTATCATAATTGTTAAAGTCAAATTCTCCCAATAATCACTTTCTTTATTTCATTTGTCTACCTTCGAAATTGTAACGAACCAGGCTTTATGGGGATCAAAGATTTCGGAAATCGCGATCCCTTTGTCAAACGTGAGTTATATATTGGAAGAGTATTAATAATGCTTGATCAAATTGCCCAAAGTTCCATTGTTGTCCACGGTACGACTTATGATCTACATGCTCGGTATTTACGTGACAGGTGAACCTTTTGTCAAATATCGCATCAATAACTTTGTCAGTTTTAACGCGAGTTTCCGAGAGTTTTCGATTAATTCTAATAATTTTCGTGTTTTTGTATCTATAACCAATTCAAGTGCGAAATGTGGACCTAGATTGTTTAGATAATATTAGGAAAGAATTAGACACTTGATCTAAAACTTGTAAAATGGCCATATTTGGATTTTCGACGTTAATTTCATTTAAACAACCATATACTCGCAAAGATTTGTACCTTTCCATATATCAATATCTATATATTAGATTTCACACGAGTTACAAATTTCCAGTGTAATTGAAAGGTTCGATCTTTGACTGCGACAAAATTGATCATTTCTAATATTTAAACAACATCCGATGGTATCTCCGGTCATCAATATTGATACATATGGTTTGCCAATTTCTGAGCCAAATAACATTTGTCCATCATCACCATAACCACCACCACAACTTCCCAGCCTACAATATAATAGTATAAAAACCATTTAACTAATTAGCGATTCATAAAAAGAAAAAGGTAAAATTTATTTAGGCTAGCTGATTTTGTGCAAAGCCCGATTCCAATCCCCCTATGGAATTAGAAAAATTGAATTTTCGGCAAATTATAACAGAAAAACTGTTTTACTACATACCCATTTTCCCCTTTATTTATAATTTCAACTTCAAAATAAATAATCCACATACCATAAATGTGATTCTATACGAAAACAGTAAAATGTAATTGTTATACAACATGAAATGTAATAAACTCATCTGTATAAGTATCTATAAGCTTAGTCTTAAAAGATTATCAGTATCCTATGCGGTTGGTGATTCCATATTGTTGTGCAATCCTATTATCAAGAATGATAGCAGAATTTGATAATTGAAGGATGATGATAGCTCGATATGTGCGAGTTCTTTTTTTTTTTAGGAAAAAAAAAAAGATTTTAGAACATTCTCGATTCTCATTTATTTATATAAATTTCTGCATGCATGCCAATCAATTTTTCATGCATAATATGTGTTACATAAAATGAAATCGATTTTTACTCTTAAAAATCAATTAAGGTATTAATACCAAAGTGAACTTATATTATGAGAATAAAAAATTCATCCTTCACTTTTTGGTTCATTCATTTGAAGTATATGAAAATACGTGTCAAGCAAATTTTCATATTATACATAGTACATATATCGATATGTAAACTATCAACCTAAATTCATTATTTATTATTCGTCATTTATATGAATTGGATTGGATTTACTGCGTCATGTACCAATTAAGGCCTAGAAACCAAATCGCTTACCAAATCCGTTGATGTTGGTTTCGTTTCATTTTTAATAAATTAAACTTTATATGTAATATTTTTTTTGATATTTTCGTATCGGCATAATTTCTGACTTCATACCTGATTTTTGGCAACATACATGGAATCTATGAAACCAAGTGTTAAATTCGATTAGTTTTCTGTGGCTATAGCCATGGCGATGGTGCCAATCGTCAGTAGAATTTCCCGTCACTGACTCGTACGTGCATTTTGAAATAGACTTAACCATTTTCTAAATCAAATGTTCTGGCGCAATAAATTACGCATAATTTCCACATCTAAGACCACTACACGACAATAATTATAAAACCAGTAGTGATTGACGACCCGAACGGTCTAACTCAAGGAAAATTTAATAAAGAATTGGTCGAAATGTTTTTGCTTTATTCTTAAATTATATTCGGAAATTTGATTAAAATATCGCTGTCATTTCGTACAATCTAACTATCATCAAATAATTTTTTTAACTAAGTATTTGGGAATTTGTTTTAACATACAAAATCATTTTATAGACCTAAATGCCAAACGTATTACTTTTTTTCAATGTGAACGAATAAGCGCTTAAAAACATCTATTTTTACTTTGAAACTTAATAATTAAAAATATTTCTTTTTTTTATTAATTTGTAAAGTATTGCCTTTAGAAGTAAGTTTTGTAAATTTATTTGTTTGGAGAATTTGAATTTGTCATAAATTAAAACGTTAAATTAAATAGAAAATATCTAATTTCGATTATTATATTTTCGGAACTTCTGACAATTAATTAATATTATAAATAATATTAAATTTAATTGAATTTGCTTTTTAACAGTAATGGCTTTAATAGCGAAAAATAAAAATCAAAAGTTAATCTCTTCCGATTCAATAAAATTTAGAATTTCTGCATATAAAAATGAAGATTAATTTAGAAATTTGACATAATTAATAAAAAATTGTAACTATTATAATTACCAATATTTTGACTAATCCCAGTTTCACATAATTCATTGTTCTGATCATTTTTATAATCAAAAATCTCCTTTTCTTCTTCATTAATTATTTCATTTAATTTAGTAAAATCAAATAAACGACTTGTATGATATGCTTGAGAATAAGATTCATTCATAGATATAGTTAAAATATTAGTATGTTCTTCTTTTAAACTTATCTTGGTTATATTAAAACTTTCATTATAAATCCAATTAAAAAATATATCTTCAAGTTCTGATGCAGTCGGCCTTTTTAATGGATCCTTATCCCAGCATTTTGTCATTAAATCTATATAACTTTGTGGAATATTACTAATAATTTCTGGACGTTCACCTTTACAAATATTCAAGGCAAGTTGTGCATCATGTACTTTATTATCAAATGGTGAAATTCCAGATACTAATTTCCACATAATCATAGAAAAACTATATATATCGCTAGCTAGTGTATAAGGTTGACCTCTTAATACTTCAGGTGCTATAAATGGTAAAATACCATAAATATCATTTTTTTTAGATGATTGAAAATACTCTACAGGTTTACATAATCCCAAATCACTAATATAGACAGATATATTATTAAATAAAATGTTTCCATCATGAAAATCACAATGTACTAATTGTAAATTATGTATTTCATTGAGTCCTTTAATAATATTAAATAATAGAAATAATTTATCATTCCAATTATATTTAATTATTTTTGGTAGATTTTTTCTTAAACTACCTCCATTTGCATATTCCATTAATATCATATAATCTAATGTATTTGGATCTTGAGTAAATCCATATAATTGAATTAATGAATTATTACAATTATAATGATATTTCCACTATAAAATACATAAAATAAATATAAATATATCATATATTTATTAATTAAAATAAAAAAGCTATACCTCATTTAAAAATTTATTATTCAAATTTGATGATTTATCAAGCTTTTTAAGTGCTACTATTTCATTACTAAATCTAAGCCATTTCTTTTTATCATAAGACCATTTATAAATAGGCCCATCTATCCAAATAGCTTTATATATAATACTAAATCCTCCTTTATCAAGATACTTAATATTTTCAAGTTTATTATAAGGAATCCATTCTAAAACTTTATAAAGTTGTTGTAAATTTAGTTGTGTTTCTTGTATAAATTTATCAATAAATTCATTTCCACTAGTCCAATTATGAAAAGATTGTTGAAATTGTTTAATATTACATTTTTTGCAATTTATAATTTTAAATGTATAACAATTTAAACATAAATATTTATAATCTAATATTATTGTATAATTTAAAGTATTTAAATTTTGAGTAAATCCAAAAAATCGAAATTTATTAAACATCTTTAAATAAATAAAATAAAAATTAGTTTAAATAAATAATTATTAATTATTAATTATTAATATAATACCTTATTTAACTTTTCATTTAAATTTGATAATTTATTAAAACTTATAAGAGCAATTATTTTATTATTCTTTCTAATCCACTTTTCTTTATCAAAAGACCATTTAATAATAGGTCCATCTATCCAAATTGCTTTATATATAGTATTAAATTCATTTGCATTAAGAACTTCAATATCCTTAAATTTATCATAAGAAATCCATTCTAATAATTGCTTATTATTTGTTGCATTTAATTGGGTTTCTTGAATAAGATTATCAATAAATTCATTTTTACTAGTCCAATTAGCAAAATCATTTTGAAATATTTGAGAATTACACTTCTTACACCATTCAAATTCAGTATTATTTTCATTACATTTTAAACAAATTTCTATATTTCTAAAATAAAAGGTTATATTAATATTTATTTAACATATATAATAAAAAAACAAATTATACTTACTTAATTTTGAATTATATGTTATTATAATAATAATATTAAGTATAAATTATAAAATATTGAATTTAAACTTAAAAGAAAATACTTACTATCTATATTATCAAATATAAAATTTTTATAAAGTTTAAATTAGATGAAATTATAATAAATATAATAATAATAAAATATAACTTACAAACTAATTTATTATTTATTTTTTAAAATAAAAATTTAATATACTTTAAAAGGTTTTTAAATATAATAATTAATAAAAATAACTTACTTACTTTAATATTAAATATAAAGTATTTTAATAAAAGTTCAAATTATAATGATATAATTATATTAAAAATAACTTACTTGCTATATGATTAAAATGATTTAAATAAAAATTAATATCTTTTATAATAAGTAATATAATTAAATATAGAAAATAAAAAAAAAATGACTTACATCCTTAAATATTAAATAATTTTATTAATGAAAAGTTTAATTGATTTAAAAGTATAATCAGAATAGATAATTAATAAAACTTACTTGCTATAATAATATTTATTAAATATTTTTTAGTAAAATTAAAATTATAAATAATAATAAGTAATCAATAAAATAACTAACTTACATTCTATAAAATGCATTAAATTTTTTTTTAAAATAAAAATTAAAATAATTTAAATTATAATAGAAAATTTAATATAAAATATAATACCAACTATATCAAATGTGATTAAAAAATTAGTTTATTTGAAATTAAATAAATTGAAATGTATCAAATCATAAAATAACTTACTTGCTATAAATATTAATTATTAAATAAAAAATTTAGTTACCATACATTATTATATAATCAAAATCAAATAGTTAAAATAAAAATAACTTACTTGCTATATTTAATGTTAATTATATTAATATAAATAAAATTTTAAATAAAATTTTAATAGTTCAAATTATAATAGAATAAAATATAAACTTACTACCTATAATTTTGATTTTAAATAATAAAATATTTAGTTGAGTTTAGAATAAAATAGAAAGCATTATTATAAGATAAAAAAAAATAACTTACGCTCTATAATGTTAATATTAAATTTTTGATAGAAAATTTATTGACATTAAATTGTAATAAACATTATAAATAAATATAAATAGTCAACAAAATACTTACGCCCTAAAGTGTTAATTATAAATAAAAAATTTAGTTGTTAGATTGTAATAAAAAAAATATAATTAAATAAAATAATTAGTAATAATTACTTACATCCTATAATGGCAACCATTAAATATTTTTAGTTGAATTGAAAATTATAGCAAAATTAAAAAAAATAACTTACTTTCTAAATATTATATTTCATTTGATAAAATGTTTTATTGATATTAAATTTAAATAAAAGCATATTTGAAATAAATAAAGAAATAAAGAAATAATAATATTAACTTACTCCCTATAAAATAAACATTAAATATATAAATTTTAATAATAAAAATTTTAGTTGAGATTAAATTGCAGTAAAAATTAAGATAGTAAAATTAATAAAAATAACTAACACCCTATAATAATAATTATTACTGATGATTAAATATGTTTGAAATAAAATGTTTAAATTATAATATAATCAATTAAATATAACTTACAATCTAAAGATGAATTACTTAGATCTTCGGATATTGCGTCTAAGATGATGCAAAAATTATTTTGTTAAAAAAAATTGAATATTTGTCTTAACACAGATATATTAAATATATACCTTCATTCAGTGCATCTTTATCATTATCCGACATTTTGGCAAAATAAACTTATCGTTATTTTCTTTTACAAGTTAAGTATAATTTTCATGAAAGACAACAATTAAAATCTAAATGTTGTACGACAAAAATATTGCACTTTCATATGATCGGATTTCGTTAATCTTTCCATATGAGGAAGGGTTAAAAGTTGCTACAGGATGCATGAGATTTGAATTGTTGTTCAAAAATACCAACCATGATAATAGTGTCATTTTGTTCATTGCGAAATATTTTTTGAACTTACGGTTGTAGCAAATTTGTTATTTTTTAAAAAAATTAAAAAAAATTTATTTTTTTTAAATTTACAAAGGCACATCATATTGTTTTTTTCTTTTTTTAAAAAAAAAATTTTTATCTTTAAAAAATTACAAGGATAATTTATTTTAAAAAGCTATGAAGTGACGTTTATTTTTAAAAAAAAAAAATATGTTCCAGAAAAAATTAAAGTTTAAATAAATTAACTGTACGGCTGAAACAAAAAAACTTGCTTAATTTGGTCTTCGCATAGCAGTGTCATTTGATGATCACAATCTTTTAATGCAATAAAAAAAAATCTTTTTCGATCACGAAAGTTTAGTAGGAGATACAGAGGTAAAGGGTTCGTTATCTAAATATATTCAGTTCCTTTATCTTTTTGATAACAAATTGTATTATGCAAAATGATTTTAATTTTTTGTTGATTTTTGATACGGATAAAATTCTTTTTCTAATTCAACTCCCGTGACGACCTTAATTGTCAAAGATGAACTAAAAGCGATGACGCGGATTCGTTACGCATCAGATGAAATTAAAATTTTTCTTTACATTAAACAATGTCTTATAAACGGAATGAGGTCCATGAACAGTAATGGATCTTAAATAGTATTGTCTTTAGGCCTAAATCCTCATAACTAGTTTCGTTTCAAACTAACACTCATATATACTCAAATATTAGTATCGGTTATTCATAATATAGATAAAAAATGACAATGTTCATATTTAATTTCAAACTAGTATTTCAAAAACACGTATTATTTAATATAAATTTTCATGTTTTGATTTTATTGTTAATACTTATTTTAAAATTGGAGTAAGTTGATAAGAATTCCATGAGTAGTTAATATTTATAGTCGCAAATTTTAAGATATACATTTCTGGTTTTCATATTTAGTCCTGATTGATTTGGATAATTCGTTATATATTATGCATTCTACAACTTTTTAAATATAAAGTTATCATTTCATCTTAATTTTTTAGCAAAATAATAAAAAACAAAACTTCCAAATTTATCTGGTCAGCAAAAATTTACAATAAATCTTTTTATTTCATAGTATCTAATAACTTGTTTCGAATCACATTCATTTTTTCGAGTCAACAAACTTAATATAATCATACATTTACTATCTATATAATCACTATCCGTTCATTCTCGATCTCTTTCGGATCATTGATCGGAATATTATCGTAATATTCAAATTCTGAAGTGAACTCTTGGTATTTCGGAGAATCATAATTATACCGATCAAACCTATCGTTATTATAAGAAAGAATATAATAGTAAGTTATATATTACTTTTCAAACATAATACGAATTAATATTACCTAATACAAAAACTACTTGGAAATATGGATCATTTTGAATGAAGAGTTTAAAACCACATATATTTTCATTTAATAAATTATTTGAACAATAATCATAGAAATTTTCGATGATACCAAAAATTTCATAACCATTTCCGATATATACAATGATCATTAATATATGTGATTTGCCTCTAATCTAAAAAAAATAGTAGCTTTAAAATTAATGTAAAAAAAAATAATAATTTATAATAAATCACATTACCGCCTTTGGAAAGATTGTAACATAAAATTGAAGAATTAAATCCCATGGAAATAATCTAATTGATTTATAAACGGATATTTTTTGTTCAATTCCAAATGTAAAGTTGTATCCATAAATCCTCAAAAGTTTTTTTAACCAAAGTACATATGATAAACTTCCAAAATGTATTGCTTGTGCATGTACAAGAACTTTATTCCTTTGATAGGTTTTATACATTTCTAATAAAAAAAAATGTTACAATTTATGAATGATTGATTAATGAAATGATCATAACGTTAAATGCTTACTTTTAATTTGTTCGTTTTTTGTGATTTTTAATTCTTTCAATACTGGCCAAATCCTTTATCAAAAAAAATTTCAACAATCAATTAAAAAAAAAATTAAAATTAAATACTTGAATTATATTTATACTTACCTTCTTTTCCACAAAATGATAACAAATATAAAGTAACAAATGGAAAATGACGAAAAAAAAATAATCACAGCAAGATAATTAAATACAAAATTTTTTACATGATTCAATCTTTCATTCTGTACCATGAAATCAAAGCAAACGGAATTAATACACTCCAAAATAATATTTAGAGAAATTGATAAAGTTGAACCAATAATCATAACCCTAAGAAAGAAAAATATGATGCCATGTAATATAGATCGTTGTTTTAACTATATAAATCATTTTAATAAATTTTTTTAGGTAAAAATTGAAAATATAAAATTAAAAACAATGAAAATTACTTTATAGCTTACAGTTATATATCCGGATATTAAATAAAAAATATAAAAAAATGATATAAACAATGCATTTAATGATTGGATATTAATGACGAAAGTGGAGGTTAAAATGCCATTTATGGAATGTTCAAGAATATAAAAAATAACGAATAACTTTTCAACAAATGTGTAATTAGATACAAACGCATTGCGTGTAGATTTGAAAATATTCTCCATTTTTTTTTTTTTTTAATTTTTTTTTCTAATTCGATATTTATGATCATTTTTCAGAATGCATTAAATTTGGTAATATTGCATGCAAATGCGGATGTTAACTAACCTCTTGCGCCGAATTAGCTGCAGTAATGCGTATAAGGTACCTTCTTCTTGTCCTTGATCAACTACACAATTATATCGTAATAAGTTGTATATTCTTCTTATATATCTCTTTGGAAAGGCCTTCGGGATATTGATTTTTCGTTTGTAGCCTCGGCTTTCGGAACAATTCCGGGAGGCGTAACAACGGAGATCGTAAGCAGGTTTCGATGAAACGAAAGGTCACGTGATTATTAAGTGTTTGATTTACTGAATAATAAACAATTGCAGCGATATTAATTTTGGAAACTTCCTAATTAAACGTCATAATATGAAAATCTTGTTTAATGTACGCATACATTGTTACTTTAAAAATGTTCAAGATCTATTAAAATCTCACCAGTTGTTCCGGTAAACGAAATTATAAGGTCGTGCTTACTTGAATCTATAAATATAAGGAATAACAGCTTATGACAATGCGTCAAGAGAGATTCAGTAATTAGTATATAACCTTAATACTAAAATTATTAATAAAGTTTCGATGTTTTCAAATCTACTTCGCGTTAGATATAAAGTATAAAAGTTTAAATTCAAAAGAGTAATTTCTTTTGTTCAATTATTCCAATGAACAACGCAGTTTTTGGTTTTTGGCTTACAATTAAACTCGTTATGTATTATTAGGGAATGTTATTGACATTTATCAACCTTAGATAATATAAAAAATTATAAAAAAACAATACAATCGAGAGATCTGGAGTAAAGTAATTTACAAGATTATGAGATAAAATAACAACTTAAATTGATCAGAGCAGTTTCATGTTAAACACTTGAAAATACATATTAAATTAAAATTACAAATAATGACATGCTGCTATAGCATAAGCGGTGTAAAGCACTTGACCATTGTAATCTCGAATACTTGGGTTCGAATAAAACTAATATCATATAAATAATATAAGGATTAGTATTATTTATTTCATGGGGATATGCTTTTTTTCCCGAAGGATAAAACCATGGTATTCCTTCCACATGAAATAATGTAGGATTATTAATGCTCGCATATGATTTTTGATCATGCGACCGGGAAATAGTATACTAAGTTTCCCGGTCACATGATCCTCAAATTCTTATGCGAAAAATTATGATGAAGGCACGCGACAGGGGATTATACCATAAACTCGATGAATAAATCATTCTTAGAAGCAAATAAAAATTAAAAAAAAGAACATAATTACATTACTATATTATGTTTGAAAACGATATGGTAAAAATTCAACGTATATTATTACAATGATAACATGTAGATTTTTTCCTAAGGGAAGTGGGATATTTCATTACTATCACATATTTTAAATTCCTTTATACAATATTTATGACTTGATTTGCGTCTTTCTTAAAATTTCCAATTAAAGATGCTGTGACCATCAATATTGTTAAATTCTTTTTTTTAAAAAAATAAAACATTCATTCGAAATGGAGTGTTGTGGATATTTCTCTGAAAATAACAAATTTAGCGGACATATTACAAAATTAAAAAGCTGCAGTATATAAATATTCTTCAAGCACACAAAGAACATCAAGGTTCAATGTGTGAAAATGTCTGTGAATAGACTTGATATAGATTAAGATTCTCAACTTACACAAATAGCGAGCAAAAACTTAACTCATACTCATATGATATACAGTACATAGATATTGGAATTTCTGCTTCAAGTTCCAATTAGCATTGCCCTATAAAAAAGTTGATCCGTGTTTTATTTTTCCGTGAAGGGCTCATTTTCATGGGATTTTTATAGAAGCCACGGAGAAAAAATAAAATATTCAGGCAAATATTTTTTATAGAAATGAAATAATTCACTCCAAAATTTATCAAAATTATCATCAATAGACGCATTTCCAACGATTTATTACTAAATCATTAAAAAATTTCAAGCATATATTCAATGTATGTTCTGGATAAACGAACCCAAAGAATGATATTGAGAAACACGCACGAAGGTAAAGAAGGTGAAGCATAAAAAGAATCTGATAAGTGGTGTTGGTATCATATAAAATTTCTGGTATATAGCTATATAACTGTGACCAGAGTTTAAAGTTCACTACGCCTTGACATCAGATTTTCTGAATAAGACTATATGGATATCCTACTTGGCGAAAATGGAGAGGTATTACCGTCTAATATTTCTTGATCGGCATTGTAATCTTTGACATTAAGCAAAAAGCGGACACATGAAGATGGTCTTAATCATTACTTACCTGATTGTGAAATGGAATGTCGAATGTAAACCTTTAGAAATAAATATTTTTATCCAATATAAATAATTACAATTAAAATAAAAAAATCTAATTACCGCCTTGTAACTCTAGAACGTCCGTTACCTCGTCTAGCATTCGAGCGTCTTTTAATCACTCTTGGACTTTATATATAAACTATTCAAATGTCTAAACCGTATATATCCTAATGGATCGATTGTAAACCTTCCATCATCGACAAACCTGTCTAAATTTCAGTATCTTCCTGACAAATCCGATAGAACTTCAGCGTAGTAATTCATCTCGATCATACTTTTCAATCACAAATTAATTGTAAGCGAATAGTTAACTGCTAAGAAAATTAATACAACACAATAAAAAAAAAACGAAAAACGAGTTAGAGTAAGATTTTAGTTTCAAATACGATGAAAACCATCTTATCCACATGAAAACTAGCAAAAATCAATAACACCTTCAAAGGATTATATTACGGTTTCAACCAAGTTGAGCGCTGTCTTTGCAATAATTTGTGAAAAGAATGAACTTTTATAAAATTGAGGTACTATATTAATAATTTTTGAGAACTTAATAATTTTTTTTTTGTAGATTGTTAATCAGAAATTAATACAATTTTGATATACATTTGAGTCGGTATCACTAAGCCAGATATTTTCAATAAATGTACGTTTCACTCATGATTAGAGTTCATACATAACCTAAGTTAGGAAAATATTTGCAAAAATCCGAGTGAATTGAGAAGTTTTATTAGATACAATTTAACAAAATGAAACGCGCGCGAAATCGGTTTACATTTCTAAAATGTTCGAGAATAATAATGGTACAACATGGATGTTTTCAGAAAATAGTCTACAAACATCACATCCATAATACGTATGGTGTTCATTTATTCAGACAGTTTAAAATAGTAAAACTAATATTATTAGTTACCATGTAGTTCTCTATCATTTCTATCATTTGAAATTTTTATCAAATTGTCACCTATCACGGGTTCTGTAACAATACTTATCGAAATCGTACCGTTTCGTTTATAATAAATAACTCTTTCGGTTAATACTCAATAAAAAAAAATATTTAATAGTTTTCAAAAAAAAAAAAATTAAATAAATAAATAGAATGTCACAACTTTTATTGCTTGAATTGATTACATTATTTGGGAAAAAATCTATGGAATTATTTTTCATATCAAATAATAATATCGTCAGGTTGATAGTCCTCATCATATGGGAGGCGGTCAAAATTTTAGTCAAAATTTATATTATTGGACCACTGGGCTGATCTTGGTCATGTGCACAAAATTAGCTTAATAATTAAAAATTAACAAAAATTTTGGATTTCCCCCTTTTCTACTGACCGCCTCCCATATGTAGAATTTCCGTCCTCATTTTCATACAAAAGTTCAGATTGAGAATCCTTACTAATAAAACGTATGCGTTCATATTTTTCGTGATTTGCATTTTAACTTGTTACTAAAGGAAATGGTCTTCATCCGAATTATTTATCTAGAAATAATACCGGCTTCAGATAAAAATGACCTAATAAGTCATTAAAATTTATTTTTTTTAAAAAAATATTTATCTTTTTGTGCGAACGATTATTTTAATTAACCGAGGTTATGTTCTTATTTTAAGTCTATATACCCATTAGAATTCGATGAAGATATGTAAACACGCTTAGCATTCAATTGAACTTTTATTGTGACGCTTTCTTGAGGACAATCATTTCTATTCTTCTCAAATTAACATTTTACACTTATATTGACGAACTCCAAATTCAGAAATACAAAGCAATTAGTTATTTTTGAAGACGTTTAAATAATTTGGTTTTATTGTTGTCACGTGATGTAATACAAACATGTATAATCGCCAAGTATTCTTTACGGGGTCGTATCGATTTATATTATAGATTTATAATTTTCTTTCTCTAGACCATAATTAGTACTGATATCACGATAAATTTATTTATTTCTTTCATAAGAAGATAAGATAATTTCATTCTCCAAAACCATCGACTCTTTGCTTCATACAACCTTTCTTGTAATTTAATCAAGAATTTTTATTTGAATTTTCTTGTTATTTTCCTCAGAACTCATATTAAGTTAATTTTAATTTTCTTTCCAAAAATTATATATATATATATATATTAATTAAAAGATTCAAATAATTGATTACAAAAATTTCATTTAAAGACGATTGACGAGGAAAGTTCAATTCTTCAATCACGATTATTTTATTAATTAAAATATAATTAAAAAACTTAAAAGGAAAAAAAACCCCCAACAATTAATTTGAAAAAATTTTTTTTTTTGATAGTCGTCACCATTTAATTCATATTTTAAAACAAAAAAAAAAAGGAATTTGGCGCGGAACATCAATGATAAAAAAGATGAAACGTTCACCTCTCTTGAAATTTGCTAAAAATGTTAGATATTGTCGGTTGTCTTTGAATAAAATAGAATGAATATAAAATTTATTTTTTTATTTCGATCTAAGCCAGACAGATAGATTAAAATGAAAAATGTAGATCAACAATAAACTCGGGGTGAAACAAATCTCCAAATCATCTACAGAAATTTTTTTTTAATTCGTATATTATTTACTCGAAAAATTAGAAACAAAAATATTTGTTTTAATCAAAAGTGTAATTAATATCAAATAAAAACATTTTTTTGATAGAATATAGAAGACGAGCTGCTATGGAACAAAGTATATTTACAGATAAAATTAAAATTATGGTTTTATCAAAAATCTGAAAATTTTAGACAGAGTATAATTGAGCAATCTCTTATTAGTCGATGGTATTTGTACAGGGGTTAAGACTTTACTAAGCAGGAGTAAATGTTTGATTATCGAACTTTAAGTATTTAATCCTGTTTTATTTCGCCACCAATAGTTGCTGTCACTCTATCATGAAATTATCTAAAAAAAAAAAATTGATCGGTTTCATATCAAGATTAGCGTAATCCAAGTTGTTGATATTATTGTTCGAAGAGGTGTCTAATGTACAGTATTAAAACCTTAATCCCCCTGAAATTTCATGTGCAAGCATGCATGCTAAATTATCACTTGCCGCCATAACTTTAAAACTAAAACAATCCCTCATCCCTCATTTCTCATTACAATTATTTCTAAAATTAAAAATCCTATTGTTTAATAATGTTCTACACTCGCACAAACATTTTCTAAAATAAAATTTCGATCATCAAAACCCCGAATAATGGTAAAGTTACTAATTATGGTAAATAAGTATAAGATGCATATTTTGACGTAGTACAGTATCAGATTCGATATATAATAAATATCAATCAACATTACACACACATAACAGATCTCAAGTATGTCAAAATGCCTATTTTTAAAACGAAGGAAAAAAAAATTTAAGCTTAGTATTGTTTATGTATCAACCGCAGTAATGCATGAAATACGAAATCTTGAAATAATATAAAATGTCTTGTTTATCTGGGCACTTTTTTTTTTCTTCAGACCCTTTTAAAGCAATTAAAAAAGCTCCATTGTTTAATCTAGTAGCATAAAGATTTATAAATTCTGGAAATTTATATTTCTTTCTAGTTAATATTTCTTTTGTTTTTTTTTTTAAAAAAAAAGATATTTTTGATATCAAAACCTGTACATATTTTTCAAAAAAAAATTTATTTATTTATATTTAATATTCTATAATGGGAAACGAAACTTACTTAAACACCAGAGCTGCGAGATACATTGAAACCCAACAATTGACCTCAAAATGTCAACATTTATTACGATATCTGGACAGTGATGGATGGTGTAAAAAATGTACAATGAAATCTGTATCCAGTGGTCATTTAGGAATCGATAAATTCATCAAACGAACTCAAAGCAAAGCAAATAATTGGTCGGATCCTTATTTGGAATGGATTCCTTACGATCAATTTCAAGATGTAAAAGAAGTTGGTGAAGGAAATTTTAGTGTGGTTTATTCCGCCACTTGGATTCAAGGAAGGTTGGTGTGATCTTTGCTTATTATGGCAATGCTGCAATGCGCCCACTGATGTGATACTAATGTTTGAATTTTTTTAATTGGTTAATAGTAGGGTTGATTGTTTTACTTTGTCACGTAAAAGTCGAGTGCAATGCCCGCGCAGTGATGCGATCACCGTTGCACTTAAAAGCATTAAAAATTCTCAAGAAATGACCGATGATTATATAAAACGGTTAAAATCTTATTATAGATGTAGTTTGTCCTCAAAAAAAAGGGAACAATCTTTGTTGAAATTTTATGGTTTAACTCGTGATCCATCTAACGGAGAATATATGTTGGTCATTCAATACACGGAATATGGAAACATACGTACTTTATTAAATACGAACTTTTCTTCATTTCAATGGTCCGAAAAGGTCTGGTGGCTTTGTGATATAGCTTCATATTTGCTTACCATTCATAAAGCTGGTTACGTTCATGGTAACATTCATCCGGGAAACATTTTACAATTGGGAATTAATCAAAGAGAAACTTCTTCGACCTTGGTTGATGCTGGATTATCTTTACCCGCAAATCATTATTCAACAAAGGTTAATAAAAAAGACATTTATGGGGTTCTACCATATATGGCACCTGAAGTGATTCTTGGACATCCCCCCACAAAAGAATCAGATATCTATAGTATAGGAATGTTAATGATCGAATTATCAAATGGTTTACCTCCCTATTCTGATCGTAAACATGACTCACGATTGGCCTTGGAAATAGTTAAAGGTTCACGTCCACAAATTTCTCAAAATTTACCACAAGTTTATATTAGATTAGCGTTAGATTGTTGTAGTTCAAATCCTTCTTCACGTCCAAATGCTAAAGAATTATTATACGTTTTTAGTGAATGGTGGACATGTATCAATAATACTGGTGAGAAAGTATTTCAAATACAAAAGGCTTTTATGGACGCTGATGAGGTTTTACCAACGTTGGAACTTGTCAAGATGAATACTCTCGTAAAAAATTCTGATGCTTTTTATACTAGTAGATTACTAAAATTTGAAGATGTATTAAAAAGAGTTAGCAGTGGAAGCTATTTTTCTATAAATTATGATGATGACGTTATATAATAATAATTGATGTCTGTACATTATATTATTAAGAAACTAAATCAGACAATAATAAATGAAAGGCATTGTGATTTGTTTAGTGGCTGTTGCGTTTCGGAGCAATTATTTTCCAAATCTTAAACCTTATTTTGGAAACGCATTGTAGATCAAATTGAATGTTGTGTCATTAACTTTAATTTTATTTAATAATGAAAAAAATTTTTTATTGGCCATAAAAAATCATATAAATTATTTGATATATGAAAAATCAATTTTTTGTGATAGATTACATAATACAATTTTTATTTTATTTATATACTTTATTATTTAACTAATTAGAATTATTGTTTATTTTATTAATATATAATAAAAAGTTAGATTAGGATTTTTATATAAAAAAATTATTTTTCAATCTTTGTATTAATAAAAATTAAAAATTTTATTATGAAATCTTATTCTAACTTTTAACAATTTTATATAAATACTATAGAAAAAATATATGAACTAAATTTGCTAGACAAAACTTAAAGTTTTGGTAGATTATTTATATATTAAAAAGTAATACTTAGTAAAACTCTTATTAAAAAATCTTTAAAAGTATTAAAAATAAAAACTTTCAAAATATATCAATTATATAATATCATAATAATTTTAAAATAATTTTTATTATTAAGTAAAACTATATATAATTTTATATTAAAATAAGACTAACATTATATTCATAAAGATTTTATAATTTATAAATATTAATTTAATAGTCTAAATTATAAAGGTTATTAAATATTAAAATTTTTTTTTAAATTTAAAATTGTATATTAAAAAGATAAAGTTTCTTAAATATTTTTATATTATTAATGATTTAAATATATAAAAAAATAAAATAAGTATTAATTAATTATAAAATAAAATATATAAATTTACAATATAAAAATAAGTTTAAAATAAATAATAAGAAATATAATTAAATCTATATACTAATTGAATTACTTTATCATATATAAAATGTATTTAATAAATTATAAGTAATTTTATAATAATTGTATATGAATAATATGGATTGTGATTAAAAATAACTCCTTAATTTCTTTTCAAAAATAGCAGTAATTGTAGTCTAAAAACTTAGAATTGCAAGTTGTAGGTTGCAATTAATAAGGCTTACTTGCAGTGTTATCTTTAATTATAATTAAAATAAATATGTATTTATTTTATATTTAATATAATATAAATAAAGATACTTATCTTCCTAAATTATTTTTAAGTAATTTTTGACTTTAAAATTAAATTATTTGTTATAATAAATATTTTTACCTAAACTTCTAATAAATTTTTCTAAAATTAATAGAAGTTTAATCAAGTTTTAAATTTAAAAAACATTATTTTAAATTTAAAGGTTTTGAAAAAATTTCTATGATTTTAAATTTCATATTAAAATAGATTTAATAGATTTCAAATAGTATCATTAAATATAATCTTTTTTTATATAAATACTTTGCAATTAAAAGAAAGAAAGCTAAAAAAAAAATTAATTTTTAAGTTTAAATTTACTTTGCTTTTAATTTTAAAGATTTTTAATATATTTAGATATAATTTTAATAGTTTTTACTTTTATAATTAAAATAATTTAGAAATTTTTAGTTTCTTATTTAAAATTTATAATTAAATTTATATTATAGCTAATTTTATAATTTATAAACCATTAATAATTTTTCAGTCACATTCAGTCGCAATATTTTATAGTAATTTTATTATAAAATATTTTCAGTTTCATTTAGTCGCGATTTATTAATGATTCACGAATTATGAATTAGCTGTAAAGTACTTTATAAATATGCAATATATTATAGTAAGTTTTATATTTTAATTATATAATAAAAAATTTAAAGGTTACTTAAAAATTAAAATTTTATAATTTTTAAAAAAAATTTATATTAAAAATTTTTATGATTAATCTATAACAATCTTTTAGAATTTATTTTTAACTATATGGGTTGTAATCTAAAAAAATCATGTTCAAAAAATTTTTTATCAAAATTGAAATTTTAATTGCATTTTAATTTTTATTACTTTTAGACTAAATTGTAATAAGATATTAATTTTAGTCAAAAATTTCTCAGAACTTGATTTTCTTAGATCACAATTAAAGATGGCATTACAACTCGGCCATACTAATCACAACTCACAACTCTATATTTTATATAGGTTGCAATTGCAACTATTTTTGAAAATAGAATAGATTAAGGAACTACCTTTAATTATAATAAATAATATAAATTTATGATATATAAAGAAAAGAAAATAAATAATATTATTATAATAAAATTTTTTATTTTTAATAAGATTTTTAAGTTTATGATAAAATTAATTTTTAATTAAATTATTATGTAATAAGTATTTTATATCTTAAAAGTTAAAAGATTAAAGAATTTAAAATGTATTAAATTACCATTATACTAATAAAAAAGGACTATTTATTTAATTTATTATTTGACATTTATTAATGAAAATTAAAATTAATTTACTAAGATATCTTTCTTTTTAAATCTTTTATTTATTTTAATAATATTTCAATAAATTATATATTAAAAAAGGTAATAAATAAATATTATTTAATAAAAAATTATAAATTATAAATATATATTTCTGAATTATATATTAATTTTATCTTAAAATAGGTTTGATTAAATGATAATACGAATGACTGTAATCCATATCTACTTAATTACTTTGGAAAAAAATATTGAATTTTTCCAAAGTTAGTCGATTTTGTAAATCGAAATATCGAAAATCTATATTTTTTGTTCTCGTTTATTATTAATAAAGATACACATATGATCCGTTATTTGAATTAAAAGTAAATGCAATGCGCAATGCGCAATGCATTTTCGTATCTTTAATCCATGATTTATTAGGGAAGACGTTTCTTCAAAAATCCACCATATTCCTTTACTTCTTTCAACCATTGGTTCCAAAGATTGTTATTAGACAACGCATCTCCATCCCCTATTACCACCAAAAGAGCCTTTGCTCGAGTTACAGCAACGCAGAATCGTCTCGGTTCCCCAAGGAATTTAACAGATTCTGTTCGAACAGTAGAAATAATGATCACGCGTCTTTCTTGGCCTTGAAATTTCTCCACAGTACCTATGTCTACCCCAGAAATATCTTTATTTTTTAACAACTTCTTTATCTTTTCAACCTGCTTAACGTAGGGAGTGACGATGCCAATTTCTTCTGGTTTAACGTTTTCCTTCTGAAGTTCCTTCACAACATATAACACATAATGGGCCTCGCGTGCATTGAACCAAGATGGAGATTGGCCCTCACGATCTTCTTTGCCTTTTACATCCCAGAATATTATCGGGTAATTCTTTTTAGGGAGGAGGGAAAAGTTACATAAGTTATGAGTGGTTATTTTGTCGGCTGAAGGCTTAAGATCATTTCCATAAAAAATAACATTAGGAAAGCTTAAAATTTTTGGGTGTGAGCGGTAGTTCATTAGGAGCTTTACACCATATATACTAGTATCGCTAAAATCATAGAATTCGCTTTCCTCAAGGCGTTCAATCAGAGATTTTCCAAGACCAAGTTCTAACGCGATTGAAGAACGGACAAGTGGACCTAGTTGCTTCGGGTCACCTGCTATAATAATCTTTGTGTTTTCAGAAGCGTTTTGCAGCGCAGTTACGATTTCCGGTTCCAATGCTTGTCCTGCCTATTACGTAATAAAATATTGTAAGAAAGCCAAATGATACGTTATTTATAATAAATTAAATACCTCATCAATAAAGATATGCGTGTACTCCTTCGTTCTTCCAAGCGAATACACAGTTCCCGCAGTGATACAAGTGGTCACAATAATCTGGCGTGCCTCAATATAGGTCACGTTCGGAATCTCGTATTTGCCGTTTTGAATCACACAATAACTGTGAAGTTTCTGATCTAATTTTTCAGGTTCCTGCGAAAATGCGTTGATTCGAACCATTTTTTCGGAAGTCAAACGTTCACTTAACTTTTTCAATAGCCAATTGGCCGCCGCATTTGATGCAGCACAGGCGAGAATCCTGGTTTTCGAATTATCATCCAGAAGCTGACACATTGCTTCGACAATAGTGGAAGACTTTCCTGTAACAGTAATTGCAGGCATAAATAAATGATATAAAAATATATTTAAATTCAAAAAAAAAAAAAAAATAACTAGCCTGTTCCTGGTGGACCGAAGACAATAAATGGCCAGGGATGGTGATTTCCTGATTTGATGATAGCTACCGCACGGTTTTGATAAGAATTCAAAGAATTCGATGTATTGTAGAATTCGGTTACTTGAGTTACTTTTTCACTTGCAGTGTGCTTTGGATAGTTTTGAGGGAACAAACGAGTAAAGTCCATTTTGGTATTTGTGATGGCTTGATGCATCCTTCTCATTGATATACGATTAAAGGTGAATCGGACATCGAACCTCACATTCGACTTGTACACTTTCTGTAAAAATGATACATCAAACTTCACGACAATGCTACTTTTAAGGACCTCGATCACGAACCCTTGGTATGCTTCTGCTTTCTTTTCTCCACACTTCACGACGAAAATAAAGTCACCGGGAAGTACCGACGGACGCTTCTCCGCGAGTGCGCGTTTACCCATTTTCATTTTAAAATGATCCCTAGGATTATTCGATTGTACTAGTTCCACTTTCTGTCGGTCATATCTTTTGAGCTCTTCGTTCGTTTTGTATTCTTCTGCATAGAGTAGTTCACTAAAAAACTTACTATAATTTTTGTCATCCAACTGAGTGCTAAGCTGTTTAAAGGCATTCATTTCAAATAATGTTAACAACTTTTGGGGCATCTCATACTTCTTTAACGGGTATTTGTATATAACTTTCTTCAAAAGGGGTTTGAGGGCATTACCGGAAACTTTTTTCTTATTTTTCATGAAATCATCGCTACTTGGCCTGATTTTGTAGGCTGGCTTGGGCTTGAGAAGTTTAAGAGTTTCTTGAGTTTTATCCATGATTAAGTTTATAGAGAACAACAGAAGTCAGAATTATTCAACAATCATTTATTTAGACTAAATTAGGAAGCGTTCTGTTTTCCAACAGAAATAGAAATTACAAACGCACTTATTATAAAAACACAGCCGATTTTGTAATAGAACCTCAAATTTTGGTGACACCGGATCACAGAATCAAATTCTAATTTAATTAGTCAGCCTCGAGGTGACACAGAAACCTAATTTCATTTGAAAAACTTGTACGAGGTTTGCAGAACAGGAAAATTTTTTTTTTTGGAAATATGGGGCCTTTGCAATAGAAAGGGGGGAAAATGCCGGAAAATTAAAAAATGAGTTAATGCTAAATTTGAACATATTTCAGCCTAAAAATCATATTTGACATATAAAGTAAAATTGATTTTTTCCGGCAGTTTCCCCCCTTTCTATTGCAAAGACCCCATATCTCGGATAAAATTAATAAATTAACTTGAAAAAAGATAACCTTATTTATTATCAACATTGTTCTCAAAAATACATAAATGAGAATCCATTTAAAATCACGTGAATACGAATCAATTGCTAAAAAAGGAACGAAACTTACGCTTTGACTTATATACATCTATTGCTTAACAACTTATAATTTTTGCGCTTTTCCTTAATCAAGTTCTTAGGAAGATATCATGCTCGGTTTCTCTGTAATTATACGCTGGATTTAATCTCAATCCTTTATCACAACAAAATCTCCTGATTCCCGGGTTGGATGCGACTTGATTTGTTTTATAATCGGGCTAAGTTTGTTTCAGAAAAATTTTGCTTCATTTGATAGTTTTGGTAACTTGTACACTCTCTATATAACGGTGGAATGTTATTCATCATCATCATCACCAACTTTTTCCGGAATATCACCCAATCTTTCGTTCGAAGACTGGTGATCACAAGTTACATCTGAGCATTCATTTGATTGTAGAAATGTTTAAATGCTAATGTTGTGATGGATGGAGTGTGTTGTAGTAATTTCGACACAAATTGCACTCTTTACTGATTTCGGGACATATTCGGTTTAATGAAAAATTTTCTGTATACGAATCTTTTCAAGGGTTCCAATCCTCATCAAATAGGACAGAAACTGCCTTAAACTCTTCCGTAATGTGTTCACTTCGTAGGATTTCCAAGTTTACAGCTGAAAGGCCAGAAAGACTAGCACATACCAACTCTCACTTTTCATACCACGTGAATTCTGTTTTTATTTGTAATAGATAAAGTTCAGAATTAAAAAAAAAAATCCAGAAACATTGCGATTTTTTTTGTTTCAAACATTTTACCCGTTACATGAAATGGAGAATCGCAAATAATTGAAGACTTGATTTTCCTATTTGGAAGGATCCCGCTTTATAGGCCTCTGAACATTCATCGATAGCATCTTGTGGCTTTGCACTTCTTGCTCGGTAAATAATGCTTTCTAATATGTAACAATGTGTTTCTTCGAAAATGATGTCTAAATCAGAAGTAAAAAAAAAACCATCGCCAGAGATAAATATAGTAACATAACGTTCTTCAACCACAGGCATGTGATATATCAACACTGCGTTGCGATCTGCTTATCTAAATTTCGTAGGTTTTCGATCATGTCATAGAAGTTTCTTCAAAGTTTTCACAGTCAAAATCGGATCAAAATTGCCATATGGATGATTCAGCTGAAAAACATCCACCACGTGTGAAAAATAATTCTTTTTAAAAACCTAATTTGCAGTAGGCAAAATACGCATCTTTGCTTTATTGATCAATACAAAAGTAAATTACAAAGGGTGCAATACAGCATTACTTGTGGTCCTTCTGAAGGTTTCGTCTGAATCTTAGTCGCATGTACTTAAAGTAAGGTACCCAAGATTCATCAGAAGCACATTGAAAATTAAAATGCGTAACACTAGAAGATAAACCTCTTCCGAATAATTTATGGAATTGTCCCATGTTCGACGAAATCATTTCTTCTTGTGAATTTGAAACATACAAAATCTATGATTAATACATTTGCTGGGCTTGTGAAGTCAAATTAAGCTTAACTCTTCGCCAGCTTAATAGCTTAAATATGGAACCAATCTTTCTTTTTTTTTTTTTTTCCTTAATTAAGTTTGTGAAGATCACATGCAAACAGAAGATATTAATAAGCGATTTATTACTTAAAATAAACTAAATCGACATTTATCATATGAAATCGGCGATAATTCTTTAAAAAAAGAATATTATATACAGTCAGAACTCGATATAACGATTCTCGATATAACGATCACTTAATAAAATCTTGTTAAAACGATTTTTTTAAAAAATTTGACTTTATATTTGAACATATAAAAATCGTTATATAGAACTTATAAATTTTGATAAACCGATTTTTTTTAAAAAATTTCATAGTAAATCAGAAGGTTCGTTATATCAAGCTCTGACTGTAATCTTTTAAAACATAAATTTGAATATAAAGAGTACCATTTGAATAAATATAATATTTAAAACAGTGATGGGTTTTTTGGACTCATTTTTTAATTTAAATATTTTGAGCATGTTTAATAGCAACTTTACATATTTGACATTACTTTCTTTCTAATTTGATAATTAGTAATAGTCTCAAATTAGAATATTTGATGATATCCATTTGTCTGCACATATTAATTCTGATTGGATATTGGATAAATCAATAATAATATTATTTGTTTTAGAATTCAAATTGTAAAAAAAAAAACATTTAAATAATTAAATTTATAATAATACTAATTAAAATAAAAGCTTGCTTTTTTAATTCTTATTTCTTTTTTATCAATTTTTAATTGATTTAATTTTATAAAAACATAAATAAAAAAATTATTTAAAATTTTTACTTATTTTTTCTTTTATAATTTTAGAAATTAAAGTTTTTAATAATAGCTTTTAATACATTTTATAATTGTATTATAAATACTAAAAAAGCGATCAAATTAAAAATATTTTCACATTTTATTGATAGATAAATTAAACTTTTCAATTAGTTTTGAATTTAAATTATTTTAAAATTTTTCTTATTAATATTAGTTAATAGGCAAATTAGATTTAATAATATTAATATTTATTCTATAAATAATCAAATTAACCATTTATAATTAGTATATTTTTATTATTTTTTAATATTTTTAGTAATTTTTTTCTTAATAATTTATATAAATTAAACAATATGTTATCTTAATTTAAAATTATTTAATATTTTATTTCTTAAAATATCATTATAAAGTTAACAATATCTTAAACTATAATGTAATATAAAAGAACATAAAAATATGAAAAATAAATTATAAGATTTAAGAATAAATTGAATTAAAGCATATTTAATTATTAAACTTAAATATATTATTTTTAGTTATTAATTTATAATAACTTAACTTAATATAATTAATTTTTAAAAATATATGAGCTTAATAATATGAAAAAATAAGTTTATAATTTAAAATAGTATGTTTTCATTAAAATATTTTGTATTTTTAGAAATTTTTTAATTCTTAAATATAAAGTTACAAATTCTTATTCTAAGATATTTTATTTTTTCATATTATAACTGGCTAAAAATTCATTATATTTAAAGAATTGATTTTATGTAGATTACAAATTAGAAGATCTGCATAATTCCTAATTTATTTGATTTTTAATATATTTCTTATATTTCTAATAAGCCTAATATTTCTAATTTTACTTATTTATATTATTTTCATTATTTTGATATTTTATTATATTTCCTATATGTATTATATTACTTCATCAGTAAATTTAATAGAACATAATATTGCGCAAACTTACATTCTGTAATATTATGAAAACTTATAAGCATATTATAAGATTATATAATTTGTATTTTTGTAAAATTTCATAACATTATAATGTAATACTATAAAAGTATTATGAGTATGTAACTATGCAAAAATTTATAGCATAATACTTCATAATATTATAGTATAATATTATGTAAAACTTACGAAAATACTAAAATTTTAAAAGTTTATGGTATAATTCTTCAAAATATTACAGTGTAATATTATGTAAAACTTACGATAATAAAAAAATTTAAAAAATTTACGAAATTTATACCAGAAATTTGTTTATCATATTTTATATCTTTCGATAAAATGTAATTTAAAAATTTTCAGTTGTATAATATTTCGTAAATTTACTAAGTTTAATATATTTAAAATATATTGAAATTTGTTTATATACAAATTATGCTTTAATTTAAAACAATTTGAAAATGAATTACAAATAATATAAGTTAAAATATAAAAAGAAAATATTATGAAAATGAGGTCATTATTATAGACTTAAAATTAAAAATTTGTTTAAACATTGATGAGCATGATGAGAATATTTTTTAAAAAAGGTTTAAAAATAAAGAAAATAAATGTTAAATATTTGATGTTTCAAAAAATTTACATGAAAGTAAAAAAAAAATTAGTAGAATAGAAAAATAAAAGAAAGACAGTTAGTAGAATATAAAAGTAAAATGAGAAAAAATTAATAGATTAGAGATACGACAGTTGGTAGAATAAAGAAATCAAAAAAGAGAAAATTAATAGAAAAATAAAAAAGAGACGGTTAGTAAAGAAATCAAAAGAGAGAAAATTATTAAAGAAAAAATGAATAAAAAAGAAAAAGTGAGACATTTAGTAAAGAAGCAGAAACAGTTAGTAGAAAAGAAAAACGATATAGTAAATATTTATTAATATTAATATTAAGATAAAAGGCTTTCATACTAACCAAATAACTTTCGTTGAAAAACGAAAAGATTTTTTATTTATTTTTTTTATCATATGGGAAGTTTGCTAGGAAAATGGGGTTCTGAGACATTTTTTAAAAAATTGAAATTTTTGATACATATTAATCT